TGACTGTCATTATTACTATTGATCCCCCGTCATCGTCCCGTGTACCCCGACCGTGACTGTCATTATTACTATTGATCCCCCGTCACCGTCCCGTGTACCCCAACCGTGACTGTCATTGTTACTATTGAATCCCCGTCACCGTCCTGTGTACCCCAACCATGCAACCCTCAACTATGTCTCCCTGAATGTCAATAATTACCTACTGATCCTCCATCACTGTCCTCCCGTACCTCAGCCACCTGACCCCAACTATATCTTCCGAATGTCATCACTACTGATCCTCTATCGCCGTCCTCCTGTACCCCAACCATCCAGCCCCCCAAACTGTCCTGTGTACCCCGAATGTCATCACTACTGATCCTCCATCACCATCCCCTGTGTACCCCAACATGTCTCCTGAATGTCATCATTACTATTGATCCTCCATCACCATGTCCCGTGTACCCCAACCGATGTCTCCTGAATGTCATCATTATGATCCTCCATCACCATCCCCCTGTACCCCAACCATCCCACCATGTCTCCTGAATTCATCATTACTGATCCTCCATCACTATCCCCTGTGTACCCCAACATGTCCGTGAATGTCATCATTACTATGATCCTCCATCACCATCCCCCTGTACCCCAACCATCCCACCATGTCTCCTTGAATCCCCCATTACTGATCCTCCAACACCATCCCCCTGTACCCCAACATGTCTCTGAATATCATCATTACTGATCCTCCATCACCATCCCCCTGTACCCCAACCATCCCCAACATGTCTCCTCAATATCATCATTACTGATCCTCCATCACCATCCCCTGTACCCCAACATGTCTCCTGAATATCATCATTACTGATCCTCCATCACCATCCCCCTGTACCCCAACATGTCTCCTGAATATATCATCATTACTGATCCTCCATCACCATCCCCCCTGTACCCCAACATGTCTCCTGAATGTCATCATTACTGATCCTCCATCACCATCCCCCTGTACCCCAACCATCCCACCATGTCTCCTGAATATCATCATTACTGATCCTCCATCACCATCCCCCTGTACCCCACCATGTCTCCTGAATATCATCATTATTGATCCTCCATCACCCATCCCCCTGTACCCCAACCATGACTATTGAATGTGATTAGTACTGTTGATCCTACATTGCCTCCCTCTGTACCCCAACGATGAATACCAAATGCTATCACTTTTGATCCTCCATCACTGTCCCCCAATGCCATCCAACCCTAAACTACGTCTTCTGAATGTCATTATCGACCCCCCTTCGCTGTCCTGTGTACTGTAGTCATATCTCAACCCATTGATGTCTCCTGGCCCCCTATTATTAGTACTGATCCTCCATTACCGTCACATGAACTCTGCCCATATGAATTCCTTGTTTTGTCCCTCACTTCCCAGTAGTACTAGGCGTTCTTCACTAGCTGTGTATTCCAACTGTCAGACCCTCTAATGAATCCTGTCCACCACAAATATTCCTTCCTGGTCCATATCACAACAGCCTGACCCCCCCCCGTCTGTGATCTGAACCCCCCATGGTTAATAGTTATCCCCCATAGCTAATTCTCATTCAGTCTTCTGCTATGTTGCTGTCTGTTCCCCCAGCCTTCCATCTGCTCCCCTAGTTCCTAGGCTTTGTCCCTACCTTGCTGCTCTAGAACTTCAGCTTCTTCTTCAGACTCATTAGAAATTCTCTCTACACAGCGCAATACTTCTGATTCTTCTACTTACAGCGTTGTCTTCCAGCATCCTCATCCTCCTCCTCTTAGCTCATCACCATCCCGCTCTTCGCTAGACTAGTGGGACTCCGTCTCTTTGCAGCCGCTTTCTGCATCCACACTCCGTTATTCACCTCTCCTTCCTCTCCAGGCTCAGATCGCAGACATGGAGCAGACGCATTCTCAAACTCTGATGGAGACGGCGGCGAGGCACCGCCAGGAGCTGCAGGCGGAGATAGAGAGGCTGCGGAACGCTCAGCTCCAGGCCGAGCGCACTCTGGATGCCAGGGAGAGGGCTCACCGCCAGCGGATCAAAGGTCTAGAGGAACAGGTGGGTCCATTCACTGGTTGGTGAGGCTGATCAGACGTGGTCACTGTGCTTTGTAAATATGACCACCTTCCCATCTTCTGGCTGTAGCCTTGCCGAGCTAGAGAGTCCTCCTGTGTGTCTCTCTGAAACTAGTTTCCCTTTATAACCAGGGGCTTGGTCTCATGGCTGTCTGCCATTCCTCTGTCCAGTATAAGTTCCTGAAGGACCAAAAAGGTCTTTAGATGGAGGTGGCAGCCAGTGGTGCCGAGTCCTGAAGTCAGGGCAATCAGGTCCTCCAGCAAGAGGGTGAAACCAACTTCAGAGGGGCACACATGGTAACTTTGTTGCTAAGATAATAGGCAACTTGTCTTTGTAAATTGGCAGGACTTTTATTTTTAAACTACCAAGAAGAGAGGAAGGGTTTCTGCCAGATTATACTTGCTGTGTCCCCTCACTTCCTGTTCTGACACCCGTCACCTGAACAGTAATCCGCAGGCTAAGGTCAACAGAGTGCTCCTTCCCCCACCAGATTGTGTCCTCCTTCCCTTATTGCAATAGTAAATGTTGCAGCAAGGGTTCGGTAGGAGGATCTGGCGAAGGTGGAAGCTGGAGCTGTCTGGTAAAGCAGGATCTGTGGGGAAGGACTGAGGATAGGGTATAAGGATGGGAGCCGGGTGGGTGAAGGTGGAAGCTGGAGCTGTAGGGGACTGAGGATAGGAGCCTGGTGAAGGTGAAAGCTTGGGCTGTAGAGTAAAGGAGGATCTGCGGGGAAGGACTGAGGACAGGGTACAAGGATGGAAGCCTGGTGAAGGTGAAAGCTTGGGCTGTATGGTAAAGCTAGAGGACTAAGGATAGGGTACAAGGATGGAGCTTGGTGGGTGAAGGTGGAAGCTGGGGCTGTAGGGTAAAGCAGGAGCTGCAGAGAAGGACTGAGGACAGGGTACAAGGATGGGAGCCTGGTGAAGGTGAAAGCTTGGGCTGTATGGTAAAACTGGAGCTGCAGTGAAGGACTGAGGATAGGGTACAAGGATGGAGCCTGGTGGGTGAAGGTGGAAGCTTGGGCTGTACAGTAAAGCAGGAGCTGCAGAGAAGGACAGAGGAATAAGGATGGTACTGAGGAAGTAGATAGAAGGAAAACAGGAGCTGGTATGGAAGCCTGGTGAAGGTAGAAGCTCGGGCTGTATGGTAAAGCTAGAGGACTGAGGATAGGGTACAAGGATGGGAGCCTGGTGGGTGAAGGTGGAAGCTGGAGCTGCAGGGAAGGACTGAGGATAGGGTACAAGGATGGGGTGAAGCCTGGTGGGTGCAAGGAAGGACTGAGGATAGGGTACAAGGATGGGATCTGTACGGTAAAGCTGGAGCTGCAGAGAGGGACTGAGGATAGGTAATGCTGGAGAGAAACCAGAGATGATGGTAACAAAATAAAAACATGAAATGCTACATTTTGTGTTGTGACCAATTGCCCTTTCTCCCCGCAGATCTCCACCCTGAAGGAACAGCTGCAGCAGGAACTGCGCCGTTGCCAATCTCGCTACACGGCGCCGGCACTGCTCTCAGGAAAATAATGACACAGGTAGGAGGGGGGGTCTCACGTTCCTCTCCCCTCCCCCATGCCATCTTGAAAAGTTTCTCTCGTATTTTTTTTTCTTTTTATTGTAACCACACTGAAGATGAGGACAGCCCCTGCATATCTCTGAGCAGGGGGCGGAGACTTGTTCACCCATCCCCCGAGGGACCATGGACACTTTGTACCTTTTTATAATAGTATTTTTGTATTCCAGAAAGCACACTTTTATAACATTTGCACTCCTTGTGGTGAAGACACTGAATGCGACCAATCTGGGGCCAAACATTTCATTCCAGGGGCCCCAACGTAACTGTGAACTTAGCTGAAATCACTTTTTTTTTTAATCTACCAGACCAAATAAAAATTTGTGTTATTTATTCCAGGTATTCCTATGTTGACAACTTGCACATCGCTTTACATGTTGTACAATGGTGACAGCTTTAAGAGGAGTTAGGGTTGTCCTGGAATTCCAATTTACAAAAGATGTGACCCCCCCCCCCCAACTCAGGGGTGTCAAACTGGCGGCCCTTCAGCTCTTGCAAAACTACAAGTCCCATCATTCCTCTGCCTTTGGGAGTCGTGCTTGTAACTGTCAGTCTTGCAATGCCTCATGGGACTTGTAGTTTGGCAACAGCTGGAGGTCGGCAGTGTGACCTCTATGCCCTAACTGGATAGTGTTTTGTGCTCTGTGTATTCTCCACAAATTACAGAACTTACCTGTTCCAGAGCAGCAACCCGAGTAAAGGCCATCCCCTGCATTGTATGTGAATGTTATGAGGGTGACATACGGACGGAGAATCAGACGGTAAAAATTCTGCACTTTATTCATCTTTGTACAAAACAAAATTACAAAAAGTCCAAAAACAAAATTCAATAATGAGAAGCGGAAAATTCAGCAACAGAAAAAAAAGTGTGTGGGGGGGGACAGCGACAGCGACTAGAGTGTGGACAGACGGGGGAAGGGCGGAAGACAGTCATACAGTACACAATAAATGAATCTGGTGCCCCCGGGGGCATTATAAGAGCCATAGCCGTGTTTCCTCCATCACCCATAAGGACCCCTCCCCTCATTTCACGGCAGGCGACTGGCCGGAGCCCCCCCCACCCCAGACTCATCAGCTGCCGGAGAAGCCAGTCCCAAGCAGAGCGGAGTCACTGTGAGGAGTAGTGCAGTGCGCTGGGCTACAGGACACAATAATAAACACTGGACAGAAGACTAAAAACGGCCACAGCGCCCCCCCGGCTGTGGCATTTACAGTACACAATGGTAATAATATGGGTAAAATACTAGCACCTCCCCCGCCCCCCTCCAGTAATCACACACTGACTGCAAGTGAGGGTTTGGGGCGCCCTCTGATGGCGGGTTCTCCTCCATGCACGGCACGCGCTCTTCCTCTAGCAGCTGCCGCAGCTCTTGCTGCACTGAGATCCGATCGACTGGCAGTTCCCGCTGGCGGCAAAGACGGGGCAACGGAGAACTTGTCTCTGCAGAAGTCAGCTGGGGGGGGGGGGGGAGAACAAAATGGTGAGAGTGAGTCCAGTATGCTGCCGTACAGTAAGTGTGCATGGTGCCAACCACAGGGGACCTGTCATGAAGGTGCAGCCAACCACAGGAGACCTTTCAAGAAGGAGCAGCCAACCACAGGGGACCTGTAATGAAGGAGCAGCCAACCACAGAGGACCTGTCATGAGGAGCAGCCAACCACAGGGGACCTGTCATGAAGGAGCAGCCAACCACAGGGGACCTGTCATGAAGGAGCAGCCAACCACAGGGGACCTGTCATGAAGGAGCAGCCAACCACAGGGGACCTGTCATGAAGGAGCAGCCAACCACAGGGGACCTGTCATGAAGGAGCAGCCAACCACAGGGGACCTGTCAAGAAGGAGCAGCCACCACAGGGACCTGTAATGAAGGAGCAGCCAACCACAGAGAACCTGTCATGAAGGAGCAGCCAACCACAGGGGATCTGTCATGAAGGAGCAGCCAACCACAGGAGACCTTTCAAGAAGGAGCAGCCAACCACAGGGGACCTGTCATGAAGGAGCAGCCAACCACAGGGGACCTGTCATGAAGGAGCAGCCAACCACAGGGGACCTGTCATGAAGGAGCAGCCAACCACAGGGGACCTGTCATGAAGGAGCAGCCAACCACAGGGGACCTTTCAAGAAGGAGCAGCCAACCACAGGGGACCTGTAATGAAGGAGCAGCCAACCACAGGGGACCTGTCATGAAGGAGCAGCCAACCACAGAGAACCTGTCATGAAGGAGCAGCCAACCACAGAGAACCTGTCATGAAGGAGCAGCCAACCACAGGGGACCTGTCATGAAGGAGCAGCCAACCACAGGAGACCTTTCAAGAAGGAGCAGCCCAACCACAGGGGACCTGTCATGAAGGAGCAGCCAACCACAGGGGACCTGTCATGAAGGAGCAGCCAACCACAGGGGACCTGTCATGAAGGAGCAGCCAACCACAGGGGACCTGTCATGAAGGAGCAGCCAACTTAGGTATAGGTGCAGCTTCTGCAGTACTTTTATCTCAAAAGTTTTATTGGAAGCCGATAAGAGACCCTGTCACCAGAACATACAATCCCTCAATAGGATGATATGTGCATGTAACGTGTTGGGGAGAATACTGATTCTCTCCCCCGCAGATGGTGTGACTGTGCCCACTTACACAGAAATGATCGATCTATAATTTGTATCATAGGTGTATATAAATGATAGAGATAGAAATATCAACCTAAAATCCAGAAACAACTCGATACAAATGTTATAAATGGAGTCGCAGTTCAGGGAGTACAATAAGTGTTTGATTCCCCGAGCAAAACCTGACTTAGAATTGGTGGAGGAACCCTTGTTGGCAGACACAGAGGTGAGACGTTCCTTGTAGTTTGGTGGAGGAAACCCTTGTTGGCGAGCACAGAGGTGAGACGTCTCTTGTAGTTGCTGGAGGAACCCTTGTTGGAGAGCACAGAGGTGAGACGTCTCTTGTAGTTGGTGGAGGAACCCTTGTTGGCGAGCACAGAGGTGAGACGTTCCTTGTAGTTGGTGGAGGAACCCTTGTTGGCGAGCACAGAGGTGAGACGTCTCTTGTAGTTGGTGGAGGAACCCTTGTTGGCGAGCACAGAGGTGAGACGTCTCTTGTAGTTGGTGGAGGAACCCTTGTTGGCAGACACAGAGGTGAGACGTTTCTTGTAGTTGGTGGAGGAACCCTTGTTGGCGAGCAGAGGTCAGACGTCTCTTGTAGTTGGTGGAGGAACCCTTGTTGGCGAGCACAGAGGTGAGATGTCTCCTATAGTTGGTGGAGGAACCCTTGTTGGCGAGCACAGAGGTCAGACGTCTCTTGTAGTTGGTGGAGGAACCCTTGTTGGCGAGCACAGAGGTGAGACGTCTCCTATAGTTGGTGGAGGAACCCTTGTTGGCGAGCACAGAGGTGAGACTTTCCTTGTAGTTGGTGGAGGAACCTTTGTTGGCGAGCACAGAGGTCAGACGTTCCTTGTAGTTGGTGGAGGAACCCTTGTTGGCGAGCACAGAGGTGAGACGTTCCTTGTAGTTGGTGGAGGAAACCCTTGTTGGCGAACACAGAGGTGAGACGTCTCCTTGTAGTTGGTGGAGGAACCCTTGTTGGCGAGCACAGAGGTGAGACGTTCCTTGTAGTTGGTGGAGGAACCCTTGTTGGCGAGCACAGAGGTCAGACGTTCCTTGTAGTTGGTGGAGGAACCCTTGTTGGCGAACACAGAGGTGAGACGTCTCCTTGTAGTTGGTGGAGGAACCCTTGTTGGTGAGCACAGAGGTCAGACGTTTCCTGTAGTTGGTGGAGGAACCCTTGTTGGTGACCACAGAGGTCAGAAGTTCCTTGTAGTTGGTTACCAGGTTTGCACACATCTCAGGAGGGATTTTGGTCCACTCTACAGATCTTCTCTATATCCTTAAGGTTCTTTGGATGTTACTTGGCAACTCGAAGTTTCAGCTCCTTTATATATTTTCTGTAGGATTCAGGTCTGGAGACCGGCTAGGCCACTCCATGACCTTAACGTGCTTCTTCTGGAGCCGCTCCTTTGTTGCCTTGGTGGTATTTTTTTGGGTCATTGTCCTGCTGGAACACCCATCCACGACTCATCTTCAGTATTCTGGATGAGGGAAGAAGGTTCTCATCCAAGATTTTACACTACATGGCCCCATCCATTGACCCCTCAATGTGGCAAAGTCAACCTGTACCTTTAGCAGAGAAACAGCCCCAAAGCATGATGGTTCCACCTCGGTGCTGGACTGTAGGGATGGTGTTCTTAGGGTCATAGTCTGCATTTTTCCTTCCTCCAAACACGGGGAGTCGAGTTGATGCCAAAGAGCTCAATTTTGGTCATCTGACCACAGCACTTTCCCCCGATCCTCCTCTGAATCATTTAGATGTTCGTTGGGGGCAGCCTTCAGACGGGCCTGGACATGGGTCTTTCTGAGGAGGGGGACCTTGTGGGCGGCTGCAGGATTTCAGTCCATGGCGGTGTATTGTGTTTACTAATGGTTGGTTTGGGGACTGTGGTCCCAGCTGCCTGGAGATCCTTCACAAGCTCCTCCCCGTGTAGTTCTGGGCTGATCCCTCACTTTTCTCAGGATCATCCTTACCCCATGAGGTGAAATCCTGCATGGAGCTCCAGACCGAGGAGGGCGATTGATGGGTATTTTGTATTTCTTCCATGTACGAATATTCGCTCCATCAGTTGTCTCCTTCTCACCAAGCTTCATGCTGATGGTCTTGTAGCCCATTCCAGCCTTGTGCAGGTCTACAGTCTTGTCCCTGATGTCCTCTGACAGCTCCTTGGTCTTGCCCATGGTGGGGTTTGGATAGAAGGGATTCTGAGGACAGGCTTCTTTTATACACAGAACGAGTTGTCGGTAGGAGGACCTTCCTACATGGACAGGACTGATCTGTGTACCACGTGAGCACAGAGCCCGTCTGTGGGAGCCAGAATCATTGTTGGTTGGTAGGGATCAAACACTTCTTGTACTCCCTGAACTGCAACTCCATTTGTATCGAGTTGTTTCTGGATTTTGGTTGATATTCTGTCTCCATCATTTCTATACATCGAGGATACAAATTATAGACCGATCATTTCTGTGTAAGTGGGCCGAACGTTCACCATCTGCGGGGAGCGAATCCGTATTTCCCCGCTGTGTACATGTTATTCACCTGTAAAACATCTCCCTATAGTGGGAGGGGTGGAGACCTTCTAGGGTGAGGAACCGCAGAGCAGCTGGGCCAGCACACTCAGACCCTCCCAGGAGAGGGGTGGGGTATGATGTGCAAGGAGGGAGCCTAGAGATGGACTCTTCCGGAGAAGTCAGATTATTTTTCCACCAAGATCATCGCATTTGCGTGAAAAATCATTAACCGCCTCCAGCCCGCCCAGCTCTGGCATTCCTCTCTGGTGTACAAATATGACCCGGGACCCCCAAATCTGAGGCCCTAGAGAATATAATGATGGGCGTCGCATGTTTTTAGGTCACACGATATTTGCACGGCGGTTTTCAAACGCAAGTTTTTTGAGGAAAAATCCACTTTAATGCACAAAAACACAATATGATGCCGAATTGTCTGGTAGAATATAAAAGTTGATATTATTTATATTTACCGAGTAATTAGATACCAAACGTGTCGTGCTTTAAATTTGCGTCCACCTGTGAAACGGCGCCAAAATTACGGTACTGGAAGATCTCCTGGGCGACGCCTTCAAAGCATTTACAGGTTAGCAGTTTAGAGATACACGGGAGGTCTGGCGCTAAATGTTTTGCTCTGATGTTTGCGGCGATACCTCACATGGGTGGTGCGATCACGCGTTTACATATGCGTGTGGGACCTACGTACGTGCGCGTTCGCATTTCTGTGGGAGAATGGGGGGGGGGGGGGGGGTGCTTTACATTTTTTTTCATTATATGTTTTTTTTTTTGTAACATTAACTTGTTTTTTATTGATCAACTTTATTGCTATTACAAGGAATGAACAATATCCTGTTATAATAGCATGGGCTGTGACAGGTCCTCTTTATGGAGAGATCTGGGATGTAAGCCCCCCAAAGCAGCAGGGGGCAGTGTACGCAGCACTGGTACCCACTGAGGTTCTGACTGAATAGCGCAGTTCAAAGACCAGCAAGGAGTCCCGATTGCTATGAATTCTGATTGGCTGCTGGCAATGAAGCCCCGCCCCCTACGCCAGTTTTGCGCACTCACCTCTCAGTAGCTCGTCGTGTTGGCACACCAGGCGTGTGCAGATCTCCTTGTTGATTACATACATGCGCCGCAGACTGCAAGAGAGAAATCGGCAGATCAGCGTCTGGAGTCAGAGAAGGGAAGCGTCATCATTCGTGGTGAACCTAAAGCGGAACTCCGACACCAAACCTTCATTTACATACAAATCCATCGTGTGCAACGACGACTTCGCAAACCCAGATACTGTCTTGTAAAGCAGCGGTGACATCATCGCTGTGCTGTACATACCCTATGCAGAGAGCACAGATGTAGGAGGGGCCCAGCAGGCCCCACCCACGACAGGCTGCCTGTAGACTACTACAGGAGGGAGGGGGGGGGCGAAGACAAGGTCAGTCACCTTCTACAAGGAGAGGTAGCAGAACTGTGGGAGGGGCCAAGCAGGGAGACATTTCCTCAGTCTCCCCCCCCCCAGTGATCAGACTGTACATTGTAACTTTGTAGAAGGAGGAGGAAGCATTTCCTCAGTCTCCTCCCCCAGTGATCAGACTGTACATTGTAACTTTGTAGAAATGACTCCTCCTTTCCTCAGTCTCCTCCCCCAGTGATCAGACCATACATTGTAACTTTGTAGAAGGAGGTGGCATTTCCTCAGTCTCCCCTCCCCCAGTGATCAGACTACATTGTAACTTTGATCACTGGGGGAGGAGACTGAGGAAATGCCTCCTCCCACTTCTACAAAGTTACAATGTAGTCTGATCACTGGGGGAGGAGACTGAGGAAATGACTCCTCCTTCTACAAAGTTACAATGTACAGTCTGATCACTGGGGGAGGAGACTGAGGAAATGACTCCTCCTTCTACAAAGTTACAGTGTACAGTCTGATCACTGGGGGAGGAGACTGAGGAAATGCCTCCTCCCACTTCTACAGACTGTACATTGTAACTTTGTAGAAGGAGGAGTCATTTCCTCAGTCTCCTCCCCCAGTGATCAGACTGTACATTGTAACTTTGTAGAAGGAGGTGGCATTTCCTCAGTCTCCCCTCCCCCAGTGATCAGACTGCACATTGTAACTTTGTAGCATCAGAGGGGCGGGGGCTGATCGGTGTCACTTACCTGTACAGGCAGATCCCTTGGAGGCACTGCTTGCAGGGTTTGTGGACGGAGTAGAGGCGGGTACACGGGTACTGCTCTTCACGGCAATCTGCAAGGGAAGGGGGGGCACACATGACATTGGATCTGCAGAGCCGGAACACCAACCAATCATGTCACAGGAAACAAAACTCGGCTTTACAGCAGAAGACTTGTACGGCCAGCAATCTGCTGAAGTGTCCATGCGGCCTGTTCATTCTGTGTTTGTCTTTACCCCCATTACTATGATATCAGTCTCCCTATTAACTCTTACCGACACTCACAGCCAGATGTGAGCAGCCAATCAGGACTCATTTCACCTTACAGTGGGAATTAATGCTGTACTTACCTAAGGGGCCGGGCTCTGTGGGTTCTGTCTGATACGTATCTGCAAGATGAGAAATAAAGATGAATATGAGACAGGATGGTGGGAACCCCTCATAATGAGCACAGCGGGCGTACAGACCCGGGAAATCAGCACAGGGATGGTGGGAACCCCTCATAATGGGCACAGCGGGCGTACAGACCCGGGAACTCGGCACAGGGATGGTGGGAACCCCTCATAATGGGCACAGCGGGCGTACAGACCCAGGAACTCGGCACAGGGATGGTGGGAACCCCTCATAATGGGCACAGCGGGGGTACAGACCCGGGAACTCGGCACAGGGATGGTGGGAACCCCTCATAATGGGCACAGCGGGCGTACAGACCCGGGAAATCAGCACAGGGATGGTGGGAAACCCCTCATAATGGGCACAGCGGGCGTACAGACCCGGGAAATCAGCACAGGGATGGTGGGAACCCCTCATAATGGCACAGCGGGCGTACAGACCCGGGAAATCAGCACAGGGATGGTGGGAACCCCTCATAATGGGCACAGCGGGCGTACAGACCCAGGAACTCAGCACAGGGATGGTGGGAACCCCTCATAATGGGCACAGCGGGGTACGTACAGACCCAGGAACTCAGCACAGGGATGGTGGGAACCCCTCATAATGGGCACAGCGGGCGTACAGACCCGGGAACTCAGCACAGGGATGGTGGGAACCCTCATAATGGGCACAGGGATGGTGGAAACCCCTCATAATGGGCACAGGGATGGTGGAAACCCCCTCATAATGGGCACAGCGGGCGTACAGACCCGGGAACTCAGCACAGGGATGGTGGGAAACCCTCATAATGGGCACAGCGGGCGTACAGACCCGGGAACTCAGCACAGGGATGGTGGGAACCCTCATAATGGGCACAGCAGGCGTACAGCCCCAGGAACTCGGCACAGGGATGGTGGGAACCCCTCTCATAATGGGCACAGCGGGCGTACAGACCCGGGAACTCAGCACAGGGATGGTGGGAACCCCTCATAATGGGCACAGCAGGTGTACAGACCCGTTACTATTTGCTATTCCATATTTACCAAAGGTGGGGACGGGATGGGACCTCCTGCTGGCTCTGCTGCTGCTGTTGTGGAATGAACTGCTGTGGAGCGTAGTTGTCCTGGGACTGGTGGAGGTCCGGTTGGGTCAGAACATGGAATCCCGTCTGCGGCTGCTGCTGCGCCCAACGAGTGTTCTGCAAAACAAATCCTCAATCTGGGAGGAAAGTCCATCCTCACCTAAGGAGGATCTCAGCACCAACACAGAACAGAGGACAGTGCACCACTCCACCTGCAGAGGGCGCGCCACCATGCCAGACCCCCCACCTGCCCCACTCCACCTGCAGAGGGCGCCACCATGCCAAACCCACAAACCCCCCCCCCCCCCCCCACCTGCCCCACTCCACCTGCAGAGGGCGCCACCATGCCAAACCCCCCACCTGCCCCACTCCACCCTGCCTGCAGAGGGCGCCACCATGCCAAACCCCCCCCACCTGCCCCACTTATCTGCAGAGGGCGCCACCATGCCAAACCCACAAACCCCCCCCCCCCCACCTGCCCCACTCCACCTGCAGAGGGCGCCACCATGCCAAACCCCCCACCTGCCCCACTCCAACTGCAGAGGGCGCCACCATGCCAAACCCACAAACCCCCCCCCCCCCCACCTGCCCCACTCCACCTGCAGAGGGCGCCACCATGCCAAACCCCTCACCTGCCCCACTCCACCTGCAGAGGGCGCCACCATGCCAAACCCCCCCCCCCCCACCTGCCCCACTTATCTGCAGAGGGCGCCACCATGCCAAACCCACAAACCCCCCCACCTGCCCCACTCCACCTGCAGAGGGTGCCACCATGCCAAACCCACAAAACCCCCCACCTGCCCCACTCCAACTGCAGAGGGCGCCACCATGCCAAACCCCCCACCTGCCCCACTCCAACTGCAGAGGGCGCCACCATGCCAAACCCCCCCCCCACCTGCCCCACTCCACCTGCAGAGGGCGCCACCATGCCAAACCCCCCACCTGCAGAGGGCGCCACCATGCCAAACCCCCCCCCCACCTGCCCCACTTATCTGCAGAGGGCGCCACCATGCCAAACCCACAAAACCCCCCCACCTGCCCCACTCCACCTGCAGAGGGTGCCACCATGCCAAACCCACAAAACCCCCCCACCTGCCCCACTTTACCTGCAGAGGGCGCCACCATGCCAAACCCACAAAACCCCCCACCTGCCCCACTCCAACTGCAGAGGGCGCCACCATGCCAAAACCCCCCACCTGCCCCACTCCAACTGCAGAGGGCGCCACCATGCCAAACCCCCCACCTGCCCCACTCCAACTGCAGAGGGCGCCACCATGCCAAACCCCCCCCCCACCTGCCCCACTTATCTGCAGAGGGCGCCACCATGCCAAACCCACAAATCCCCCCACCTGCCCCACTCCAACTGCAGAGGGCGCCACCATGCCAAACCCCCCCCGCCCCCCCACCTGCCCCACTTATCTGCAGAGGGCGCCACCATGCCAAACCCACAAAACCCCCCCACCTGCCCCATTCCACCAGCAGAGGGCGCCACCATGCCAAACCCCCCCCACCTGCCCCACTTATCTGCAGAGGGCGCCACCATGCCAAACCCACAAAACCCCCCCACCTGCCCCACTCCACCTGCAGAGGGCGCCACCATGCCAAACCCCCCCCCCCCACCTGCCCACTCCACCTGCAGAGGGCGCCACCATGCCAAACCCACAAAACCCCCCCAACTGCCCCACTTACCATCATATTCGTAGAAATACGGAGGTTCTGGAGAGAGAAGAAAAGGCAAAAATGAGCAAAGAAAGCGAACCTCCCCCAGAACCAATGTCCCCCCAAAACCAATGTCCCCCCAAAACCAGTCACCCCAGAACCAATGTCCCCCCAGAGCCAATGTCCCCCCAAAACGAATGTCCCCCCCAAAACCAGTCACCCCAGAACCAATGTCCCCCCAAAACCAATGTCCCCCCAGAGCCAATGTCCCCCCAAAACCAATGTCCCCCCAAAACCAATGTCCCCCCAAAACCAATGTCCCCCCAGAGCCAATGTCACCATACACAGGACTACCTACCTGTAGAAAACTCGTACTGTGGGGGGACGTCATACTGCTGAGCCACAATCCCTACAAAGTAAGAACAGATATTGAGAATGACACCCGGCATCCAGGACAGGAGAAGTGGGACTGTGCAGAGTCCATACATCCAGAATGGGGACAGATACCGAGAATGACACCCGGCATCCGGGACAGGAGAAGTGGGACTGTGCAGAGTCCATACATACAGAATGGGGACAGATACCGAGAATGACACCCGGCATCCGGGACAGGAGAAGTGGGACTGTGCAGAGTCCATACATACAGAATGGGGACAGATACCGAGAATGACACCCGGCATCCGGGACAGGAGAAGTGGGACTGTGCAGAGTCCATACATACAGAATGGGGACAGATACCGAGAATGACACCCGGCATCCGGGACAGGAGAAGTGGGACTGTGCAGAGTCCATACATACAGAATGGGGACAGATACCGAGAATGACACCCGGCATCCGGGACAGGAGAAGTGGGACTGTGCAGAGTCCATACATACAGAATGGGGACAGATACCGAGAATGACACCCGGCATCCGGGACAGAAGAAGTGGGACTGTGCAGAGTCCATACATACAGAATGGGGACAGATACCGAGAATGACACCCGGCACATCCGGGACAGGAGAAGTGGGACTGTGCAGAGTCCATACATACAGAATGGGGACAGATACCGAGAATGACACCCGACATCCGGGACAGAAGAAGTGGGACTGTGCAGAGTCCATACATACAGAATGGGGACAGATACCGAGAATTCCCTCCTGGCATCCAGGATGGTGTTGGTCTGGCGGGTCGCACTCACCGTGAACGCAGAGGAGGAGGAGACATGTGATCCTCATAGTTGCAGCGATTGGTCGTTATCTGCGGGAGATAAATATTCGATCATTTTTGGGATTTCAGATTCTTTTACAATCACATTTCAGACGACATTCTCACACAGGTCCTGTATATGGGACCCCGATGATCCCGCCCCCTCCGCCCGCCCCCCTCGTCCCCTCGGATTAGTGCCGTCCTGTCCTCAGGTCACTCCGTAATTCTCTCTTTGAAGTTTGCAGATTGGGAGATTTGCCCGGGAACGGCGGGGGTGAATCAGAGCCAATCAGTGTGCATGGTTGCACTAATTACTTGTGGAGGGGGAGGGGCTCGCAGCGCTCAGTTCTGGCTGCACCAATAACTGTGACTATCAACTGGTCCGTCACCTTCATTCAGTGCAGTAACCCATGGCAACACAGGGCTCACCTATCACCAGTGAGCAACCACAACTGTGAAGGGCGGTGGTGGGTCCTGCATACGGCACCAACTAATGGACCAACGGCACCCGGCACATGCATACCGCATGATGGAAACCTGAGAGGAAGGCAAAGGCTGCCACCGACACCCGGCTTCTGAAAATGCCAGTTACCTGGCTCTCATGCGTATCCTCTGGCTTCAGTACTTTGTGATTCATCGGCCCAGAACTCCTGATCCGCACACCCTGAAGAACCGAAGCCAGAGGACAGCGCTGACCCCTCCGGACAGGGAGACCACCCTCTGTACTGGGGGCAGCGGGCCTTCCGTCACCCCAAGACACTTTCATTACATCACACCATTGGCTGGCAGTGATCACATGACCCCGTCACAGCGGCAGCTTTCACTACATTGGCTGGGGACGATCACATGACCCCATCACAGCGGCAGCTTTCACTACATTGGCTGGCAGTGATCACATGACCCTATCACAGCGGCAGCTTTCACTACATTGGCTGGGGACAATCACATGACCTCACCGGTCACACAGTGATCCTCCTACAACCCGGGAAACACCTGAAATCTCTCTTTATACCACAAACCAACCGAAAGGCTAAATCAGGCTAGCAGAGGGAGCGGCCGACAGGGGGCTGGGCCGTGGCACAAAGTGGAAGGAGGTCACATGGTGTGGATGGCGTACAGAACTGCAGTCTGCGAGGAGTGTTGTCACCCTCAGGAGGGGGGAGGAGATGACTGGAGAGCGCACATCACTGGACACGACATCCAGCAGGTAATGCGAACATGCGCCCTTCATCCGTGAACTCGAGAATTCCGTGCGTGCCGAGGAGCTGACACTCTAATTGGCAGCCGCAGACATAACACCAACCAGAGCTGTGAGGATCCTGCGGGCGGATCAGATGGCTGGAGGGCGGCCAATTCCCGTCTGCAGCCCCCGCAATTCTGCAAGTTCAGACAAGACCCCCCGGAGTGCCGGCATCTGATTACAGACTGCCTGAGGGCCCCCCATCCCTGGCGCCCCCCCCATCCCTGGAGCCCCCTCCATCCCTGGCGCCCCCCCCATCCCTGGCGACCCCCCCTTCCCTGGAGCCCCCCCCCCCCCCCCCCCGCCCTAGACAATCCTCATCCGCACACACTGAGCCCCCCCATCCCTGGCGACCCCCCCATCCCCGGAGCCCCCCCCTTCCCTGGCGCCCCCCCCCCATCCCTGGTGTGCCCCCGCCCTACACAATCCTCATCCGCACACACTGAGCCCCGCCATACCTGCTCATCGCCTCCAGACTCCAGATTGCGATTGAAACAAATTTGAATACAATTACAAGTGGAATCGATCTCAAAGATTCAGGGGGAGCGGCGGCCATTTTTACGGCGGGACCGATCGACCATATGCGCCATTCACTGACGTACACTTTGCCATCGTCTTGTTTTATGAAGGAGGAATGGAAACGGTGACATCATGGCAGCACGCGGTGTGGGGCTCGGTGGCAGATTGGGGGGGGGGGAGCCAGCTATGAAAACAGCATTGGGTCATGTGATACCGGAACCGCCGATTGTTCATTCGCAGCGCGCAGGAAACGCAGGATGACGCTCTACACAAGTGCCAGGCTGTGCGCAGCGCGTGCGTCATCGCTGTCTGGTACTGGAGCCGACCTGATTGGATGAAGACTGAATGGATTGTCTCAGTGTGTCCGCATGCTGCATAGTTTTGGTAAATCTAAAAGGAAACTGTACAATCACATTGCATAGTGTGTGGCCAGCTTCAATCAGATTGCATAGTGTGTGGCCAGCTTCAATCAGATTGCATAGTGTGTGGCCAGCTTCAATCAGATTGCATAGTGTGTGGCCAGCTTCAATCACATTGCATAGTGTGTGGCCAGCTTCAATCAGATTGCATAGTGTGTGGCCAGCTTCAATCAGATTGCATAGTGTGTGGCCAGCTTCAATCAGATTGCATAGTGTGTGGCCAGCTTCAATCAGATTGCATAGTGTGTGGCCAGCTTCAATCAGATTGCATAGTGTGTGGCCAGCTTCAATCAGATTGCATAGTGTGTGGCCAGCTTCAATCAGATTGCATAGTGTGTGGCCAGCTTCAATCAGATTGCATAGTGTGTGGCCAGCTTCAATCAGATTGCATAGTGTGTGGCCAGCTTCAATCACATTGCATAGTGTGTGGCCAGCTTCAATCAGATTGCATAGTGTGTGGCCAGCTTCAATCAGATTGCATAGTGTGTGGCCAGCTTCAATCACATTGCATAGTGTGTGGCCAGCTTCAATCAGATTGCATAGTGTGTGGCCAGCTTCAATCAGATTGTACAATGTATGGGTGAATCAGGCAATTCCTTCAGTTCCTCTGTGGGTGCTCAGAATTCTGAACAATTCGATTGTAACATGTATGGCTCGGCTTCACCCCAGCCAACTGTTCTTACAGAAGGTGACCTCTGGTTGCTGTGGTAACAATACGGTCACACATTGGGGTCTCTTCTACCGACATCCATCGAAGACCTCTGTGGTGACTCCTAACCTTCTAACCTGCAGCAATGGTCTGATGGTGGCCATACAGGAGGTGACCCCGATCCTGGCGGGCCCTATAGGGTGATCATGTCTGAGGTTCCCATCTGTCTGACTGAAGACCGTGATCGATAAACTATGATCCAAAAACTGCAACCGGGAAATGATCGGCAAAATTGTCACAAAAATGTATCAAATTGTAACAAATGATCTGCTCAGTGGTAATGTTGCTCCACTGATGGTTCATAGTCCAGATGTTTGGAGGGGATTCAAAAAGACCTATGAGGAGACAACACCATCCCTACTGTGAAGCTTGGTGGTTCACCATCTCAGCTGTGAAGCGTGGTGATTCACCATCCCTACTGTGAAGCCTGGTGGTTCACCATCCCTACTGTGAAGCCTGGTGGTTCACCATCCCTACTGTGAAGCCTGGTGGTTCACCATCCCTACTGTGAAGCTTGGTGGTTCACCATCTCAGCTGTGAAGCGTGGTGATTCACCATCCCTACTGTGAAGCCTGGTGGTTCACCATCCCTACTGTGAAGCCTGGTGGTTCACCATCCCTACTGTGAAGCCTGGTGGTTCACCATCCCTACTGTGAAGCCTGGTGGTTCACCATCCCTACTGTGAAGCCTGGTGGTTCACCATCCCTACTGTGAAGCCTGGTGGTTCACCATCCCTACTGTGAAGCCTGGTGGTTCACCATCCCTACTGTGAAGCGTGGTGATGGATCTCTACTGTACTGAGGTAAGATGAATACAACGTACCATCAGATCAGATTGGCGCACACCTGGACCTCTGCCATGACCCCAAACCAAACCCCACCCGTCGGTGCCTGCAGCAGACATCCGTGAAGGTTCTGGAGTGACCATCCCTTATCGGGACATTTTGGGGGGGACCCCAGACATGGGGGTTCATGATGGACACTCAAGCAATGCACAGGACCTGGAGGACCTTACCAATAAAGGGCCTCATTCACAAACATCACAAAACTCTGGCAGCCACCATTGATTGTGAAGAGGCAGCACAACGGGAGCACCTTTGTGAGAAGCCGCTGAGGGAAGCGGTCACAGGGTGGTATATGAGCCCCATGGTGGACAAGCAGAAGGTATGTAGTGGATTTGTGCCCTGGGGTGGGGTAAGTGCCCCCCATGGAGGATGGCGATCAGCGCATGCCAGCGGTTTGGTCCTACAACGGAAGGACACCTGCGGTCTCCGGATTGTCAGCTCTGTGGCTCAGCTGGTGAGATGTGTAGCAGGCAGGTAACGGAGGTGCTGGAGGGTCGTTTGAGCCCCCATGGCGGACCGCGTGACGCACAGCTGTGATCGCCATCATCCTATGAAATAAAGAATTTCTTTGTTCTGCCCATACAGTATGGAAACATCTGGGATTCATCATGGCGCCCCCCCCTCCAGGGACCACTCCCAGCCCCCTCCCCCCTTCCACGCTCCCCGCTGTGAGACATGACCAGACAGACCCTCCGCTGGTACCGAGAACCCAATTACAGCCGGGGATGGGGGGGGGGGGGTAATTATGGGGGACACTCCGCTCGCGGCGCAGGAGACCCATCCCAATGGGCATAGAGAACTCCATATCTCAGGGCCCCACCATAACCAGCTGGGGCCACACCAGTATGGACTGACAGCTAGTGACCCCCCAATAATATGATGCATATGGACCGTGTCTAGGGGGTTCCCTGCTTCGGGTTCCATGACCCTTCCCACACTCGGGGGGGGGGGGGGGGGGGGGGAGACATTCTCCAGTCCAAGCAAAACGATACAAATTAGTTTTCTTTCGAAACAATTTCACAATTTTTCCATTTTTGAGCCTCGAAGAATGAGCCGCGTTTGCTGTGCGAGCGCTGTGCATTTTTATGGCGTTTTCGCTCCACACGCACAGGGCAGCTCATTCATTTACACACAACGCACCTTTCCGGGCGTCGAATCTGCGCATTTGCTGCACGTTTTAAGGCGCCTCCATGGCCGCGTTTGGGATGAACGTCACTACAAGCACGCCGCGCGTTTGTTGTGTGTTCGCGGAATGCTTACATGTGAATGGAGCCCAAAGTCCCGCGGCTGAGCGTTCT